TCTCTCTCTCTCTCTCTCTCTCTCTCTCTCTCTCTCTCTCTCTCTCTCTCTCTCTGCATCTGGTTGTGTTTCAGGATGTGAGCTCTCGGCTTCTTCCCTAGTGGTGTGCCTGCCTGCCTGCCACCATGGTCCCTGCCATGACGGTCATAGACACTAACCCTCTGAAACTGTAAGCCCCACATGAATTCTTTCTTTTATAAGTTGCTTTAGTCATGACGCCCTGTCTCAGTAGTAGAAAAATAATTAAGAGAGTTTTGGCGATTTGAACTCAGGTCATCTTGCTTACAAAAGAAATGCTTTACCTACTCAGGTACTTAATGGGTTTGGGGTCCTGTTTTTTATTTTTGTTTGGGTTGGTTTGGTTGGTTGGTTTGGTTATGGTTTGGTTTGATTTGGTTTGGTGTTTCTAAGACAGAGTTTTTCTGTGTTGCTCTGGCTGTCCTAGAACTCACTCTGTAGACCAGGCTGGCCTCGAACTCAGATCCGCCTGCCTTTGCCTCCCAAGTGCTGAGATTAAAGGTGTTCACCACTGCTGCCTGCCATTTTATTTGGATTTTGAGGCAGAGTTGGCTCTACTGAAACTTACTATGTATTTATTCCAGCCTGGCCTCAAACTTACAGAGATCTGCCTGCCTCTATGTGCTGGAATTAAAGGCATTTACCACCACATCCTGAATAGATTTTGGTTTTTGTTTGTTGTTTGTTTGTTTTTTTGAGTCACAGTCTCATTATATAGCTCTGGCTGTCCTGGAACTCACTATGTAGACCAGGCTGGCCTCAAACTCACAGATCTATCTACCTCTGCAACTGGGTTTTCAGATTTTTAAACATTGCATAGCTGGGAGATGAAACACTCTGTTCTACAAGGAAGCTCCTCAAACTCAGGAAGTAAACAACGTAAAGGTTTCAGGAACCTCCTGAAATTGAACACACGCACTTGTCTCCTCCCTCCCCAAGAATATGTCAGCAGTCAGGACTGCTGAGAGATACTCTCAAGGAACTGAGTTGCCTGAAAGAGACCGTCCACTCTGCAGGCTATATAGTGGCTGTCCAATCGTGCACTCTAGGTTCCTGGTTTTTATGAGCTGTCACTACTGCTGTGTTAGGCTTTTCACTAATGCAGCTGTCTTTGAGTCATTTCTGTTCTTGTAACTAACTTCTCACCCATATTCCTGTAAGTAACCCCAATAAAATGTATTGGTTTCACCAAGTTGGACTTTAGTGGTCTCCATACTTTGGCCTGTCATCAGTTCTGTATCAGGGGTGAGTAAATGTTTGTTCATGTTTCCCCAGGAACAGTGTCACACCAGAAAACCAAACAACAGCTGGGTATGGTAGCATAGACCTTTAATCCTGGCACTCTGAAGGCTTCTGCTGATCCCTATGAGTTCAAAGCCAGCCTGGTATGCGTGTTGAGCACCAGGCCAACAAGGGCTACAGAGTGAGGCCCTATCTCAAAACAAAAATAACATCTGTGGGATGGCTTAGTGGCTAAGAGTGCTCACTGCTCTGGCAAAGAACCAGCATTTGATTCTCAGAACTCCTGTCAGGCAACACACAACCACCCGTAACTCTAGCTCCAGAAGATCCGGATTGTAACCCTCTTCTGGCCGCCACAGGCACCTACCTATAAGTGCAATACACATACATAAAAATAAAACACATTTTATTTTATTTATTTTTTATTTTTTTATTTTTGGTTTTTTTGAGACAGGGTTTCTCTGTGTAGTCCTGGCTGTCCTGGAACTCACTCTGTAGACCAGGCTGGCCTCAAACTCAGAAATCCGCCTGCCTCTGCCTCCCACGTGCTGGGATTAAAGGCGTGTGCCACCTGTTTTAAAAAAGAAACTGCTCTTAAGAAAATCCTGATTTGCCGGGCGGTGGTGGCGCACGCCTTTAATCCCAGCGCTTGGGAGGCAGAGGCAGGCGGATTTCTGAGTTTGAGAGTTCGAGGCTAGCCTGGTCTACAGAGTGAGTTCCAGGACAGCCAGGGCTACTTAGAGAAACCCTGTGTCGAAAAACAAAAAAAAAAAAAAAAAAGAAAATCCTGATTTGGTGTGAGTACCCATTCTAGGTGGCTCATGACTGTAACTTGGGCTACAGAAGACCCAAAGGCGTTAGCAGTCATCCAGATAAATCTGTGTGCACACACATATTCATAAAAACCTCTAAAACTAAAGAAAGAGTAACCACAGAGCTAAATGAAGCAACGGTTTACAGACCCCCACCTTTCCTATAATTAGTATCCTAGGTTAGCATGCAGTTGCTGTCCCATTCCTAGAGACCGTTTGGTGTGTATTTGGAGGTAGCCAGTAGGCCTGAGGGAGAATCACAGGAGAAATACCGTGTTTGCCATCTTTCTCACCTGATGACCTCTGTAGAAGCCATCAGTGGATGGAACCAGAGTGTGAGAAGGGAATGGTGTCCCAGTCAGATGAAGCCAGGTGGGAAAGGGCAGGGACAGCCTGCCTCTGTGAGGGAGCATCATACATACAGACTGATGAGGAAGGCTCAGTTGCTTGGGCATCAAGGGGCTGGATAGAGGCCACATCCTGAGGTGAAGTGATAAAGTACACCATGCCTCATAGACACAAAGCATTTGTTAAAACAGTTTCCCAGGCTGGCTTCAAACTTGTAGTCAAGGAGAAGCTTCTGATTCTCCTGCCTGTACTATCTATCCCAAGTGTTGGGGTTATAGGTATGCACCATCATAGCAGAGCTGGGATGGACACCAGGGCTTTGTGCATGCTATGACATGGGGTGGGCCGGGTTTTGTGAAAGCAGGGTTCTACAAGGGCGAGTGGAAAATGTCTCTACGAGTGGTTAGCCCTCACTCTGGATGACAGATCGGGCACCAGACAAAGGTCGCTGCTGCCTCCTGCTAACCCGGTGGCTCCTCTGACCCAGCTTGGGCCTCTTTAGCAACCTGGCCCAAGTTTCCAGCCACAATTGCTCGGCTGAGGCCTGGAAGTCCTGTAGTATCTGTGCTCTCAACCTTTGCTCATTCTAGCTGGACACTTGGCCGCCAACGCCTTGCGGGGTTTTCTGGAAGGGGTTGGGTGGGGGGAGCTGCTCCAGGGCTTTGAGGAGCAGCAGCAAACCAGGTAGAGCTGAGCAGCCCGGGGCAGCAGTAGCACGCAGTGCGACGGCCCCGGGCGCCCCCTCGGGACGGACCGGAACTGTGTTGTCGCAGCGATCTGTGTGCAGAGAAGGCCCTGAGACCACATGGGGTGGGAGGTGTCGCTGGCCGCGGGCTGGCACCTGCTGAGCTAGACTAGTGAGGTCAGCGAAAGACGACCGGGGAAACACTGTAAGGAGGCCGTGGTTCAATGATCAGCGCACAGCGCGGCGCTCCACTAGAGGTCAGGTCTCCGGAAAGTGATGGGAGAAAAAAAAAAAAAACAAAAACCACGAGATCCCAAAATGCCAGCGTGGTACCAGAGGGAAAGGGCAACACATACCCCCAACCCCACCCCGGGTAGAGAGTTCCAGGGAAGCTCGTTCTGAAGAAGCCATCCTTTCAGTCAACCGGTGGGCTCAGGTGGCGGGAATCCGGCGTCCAGCGGAGGTGCCCTGGCCCATAGGGCGGGTCCAGGGCCACTGGAATCCAGCTGGCAGGTGCCGGGGGCGGTGCCCAGCCCTGCCCCCAGGGGACGTTCCTGGAGGCCAGAGGCGGGTCAAAGAAGAGAGCAGGCGACGCCTTAGAACCTCGGGCGGCAGCTGCAACCACAGGTACTCCGCAGGGCACTGTGTCCTACCTATCTGGGCATCTCAATCCGGCTCTGAGAACACTTTGAAAATTTCAAAGTGCGCCTAACTCCGAACATCCATGTTCCCGGGTGTCCGAGAGCGTAGTCCTGGGGTCGCCTGAAGCTTAAGGCTACGTCTTCCGGGAGCCTCAGAGCCAGGGCACAGGGGAAGGCAGTGAGTGAGATCCTGGAAATCTCTGGAGAGGAGGACTTGGAGACCCCGGAGTCAGATAGCCAGGTCCTGTAGGTGCCAGTTAAGCAGGTCACGGAGCGCCCGGGCGGTCCGCGCCTGGGCCGCCTGGCACTGGGAGAGCCGAGGTACTGGGGCAGTTGTGTCCCTGTCTCGGCTCAGAGGCCTCCAGGTGTGTTTTCCGCTGAGGCCCGCGGCGTCCAAACCGGCGCCTGCGGAATTGCAGATGGAGACGCCCATCCAGCGGGAAATCCGCCGCAGTTGCGAGCGCGAGGAGAGCCTACGCCGGAGCCGGGGTCTGAGTCCCGGTCGCGCGGGCGAGGAACTCATCGAGTTGCGTGTGCGGCCGGTGCTCAGCCGACCCGGCTCCGGTACCCCGCTGCCTCGCGCCCTGGAGCGCGCTCGGGCGGGCGCGAAGATGCAGCGGGACATCGAACGCGAGGCTCACAGGCAGGCGGCGCTGGCGAGCCCCGCGGTTCCGGAGCCCAGCGCCCGGCGGCGGCCGCAGCCGCTGGACGAACTCAAGCGCTTCTTTGAGGCTGCGGCGGAGGACGGCGCGGGCTTGCAGCGGCTGCCGGAGGCCGGAGGCCGGCTGCACCCCGCCGTTCAGGACGGCTGTCCTGTGCTGGGGCAGTTGCCTCCGCTCGTTGCCCCGTCGCTGCTGGAGCAGGAGGTGCGCCGGGTGCGCGAGCGCGAGCGGGAGCTGCAGTTGCAGCGGCGCAGCATCTACGGAGCCGCCGAGGTCGGGGAGCCAGCGCCAAGCCTCACCCGTAAGCGGTCCCCCTGGGCCCCAGAGCTCAGGCTGTCTCCAGCTCCAGTGGTTCATCTGTAGGCTCGCAGACCCTTAACTATCCTTCTGGGGTTCACTTTCTGTTCTTCACTTCCATACTTGGAGTGAGGATCCCCAGATCCATCAGACCTTGTCTTGGAACCTTGGCTTCTGGTGTTCTTGGGTCCTCTGTACTTTTCGGGTTCCTATCTACACTGAATTTGCCTCACTCCTGTTCCTGGGTCCCCAGAACTGGGTGGAGGCCTCCACAGGAAGGAGGGGTACACACCTGTATGTGTTTAAGGGGTGCGGCCGTCCTCCAGCTGGCAAGAGGAGGGGCAGCCGCGGTTGAGCGTTCCTTCCCCCACAGCGAGCAGGGGAGATGGAAAGTTGGCGGTGATCTGGCCCCCGCGGAGACGGGCCTCAGAGAATGGCCTGGAGAAGGTGGGAGCCCCCCTTTCCAATGCTTGTCGCTGTCCCACCCCTCCCTGCAGTGCCTGGGCATTGGGGTGGAGGGAGGAGGTGCATCCTGGTCCCCTGGAGCGCCACTCTGGCCCAAACTCAAAAGTTCCAGATGTAATCTAGAGAGTGAAGAGGAGATGGGGGCCTGGAGGCCAAACTCTCCCTGAGGGCGTTCTTACTCTTCCCCTTTTCCTTGAAGGAGCGCAGACCCTGAGGTCTGTGAAGGTTGGGACCTGCGGCCAGAAGTAACTTACCCTTTGAAAAACAAGGTTAAAGTAACCCTCCAGATCACCAGAAGGCCTAAAAAGGGAAGGGCCAGCTTTCTTTAATGGCAACTTGAAATCCATCCCATCCTTGATGCGGACTACGGAATTAACCACCTTTCTCCATAAAATTGTTTAGTCTTCCCAGGAAAACAGACCACCACCCGCAAAACCTGTGAGTGAAACATAAAATAAAGTCTTCCTTTTCCTAGGCTTTAGTGCAAGTTGTTTTCTACTGGTCTGGGTGGGGCGGTGTCTGACAGGTGAAGAACCCTTGGGAAAGCTACCAGCGGATTAGCGGATCGCACCGGAATGTTGGAATTCAAAATGCGCTCTGGTCTCCTTGTTCTGGACTGACTGCTGACCCGGGCCTGGGCCAGGGCCCTACTGCCCCCTGGTGGTGCTAGCGCAAAGTGCTGCTCACTGGTCCGCAGACTCCACTCCGGTGTCCAGATGTCAGTTTTTACAGGTGCCAAAGCATTCTGTGCTCAGGGCGCTGTTAGACTGAGGTGCTATGAAGGTGTCCCTGCTCTGGGGATATAAATAATAATGTAAAAGTACTAGGGATGGGCTGGAGGGATGGTTTAGGGTAAAGAGTGCTTGCTACTCTTGCAAATGACCCGAGTTCAGCTCCCAGCATCTACATGGGGGGCTCACTACTGCTTATAATTCCATCTCCAGGAGATCTCTTGCCCACTTCTCTCCTCCAGAAAAATCTGAACATACATGGCATACATTCGCACAAAATGCACACATATACACATGAATTAAAATAAAGATAATTTTAAAAAGAGAGATTACCACTGGTGGTGTTGAAGAGTCAAGGACCTGGTCTTTGCTTGTTTCTTTTAAAATCATGGCTTCATAGATCCCATATGGACCTGAAATTCCCTCTGTGGGCAAGGGTGACCTAGAAAGTTTTAAAAGATTTACTTTTCGGATTCACGCTGTGTGTGTAAGTGTTTTGTTGGCCTGTGTATGCAGTACCTGCAGAGGTAAGAAGAGGGTCAGATCCCTTGGGACTACAGTTCCTTGTGAGTGCTGGGAACTGAACCATGGTACTCCAGAAGTACTCTCAATTGCTGAGCAACCTCTCTTTATTTTTAGTTATATGTATGTGTATGTTGGGGTCTATACACAAGAGTGCAGATGTACAGATGCCCTCAGAATCCAGACAGCATCAATCCCCCTAGAGCTGGAGCTGTGACAGTTGTGAGTCACCAGAGGTGGGTGTTTGGAACAGAACCCAGGTCGTCTGCAATGGTAACTAGTGCTCTTAACCACTGAACCATCTCTCCAGCCCCTGGAACTGTTACTACAGTGACGTTTAGGACTGAAGAAGTTAAGAGTGTTTGCTGTGCTGTGCGAGGTGGCGCATGCTTTAATCCTAGCACTTGGGAGGCAGAGAAACAGGCAGACCTCTGAGTTCGAGGCCAGTCTAGCCTACAGAGCAAGTTCCAGCACCACCAGGGCTACACAGAAAAACCCTATCTTGAAAAACAAAACAAAACAAAACAAAATGCTGCCCATTCAGATCCAGTTTTAGTTCCCAGTACACAACTTTGGGTAGCACACACCACCTATAACTCCAGGTCCTGGAGCTCAGACACCATTTTTTAGACTTCTCTGGCATCCTGGAATACACAGATGAATATCTGAAAACCCAACACAGATACACATGTCTCCTCTATGTTGCCCTGACTGTCCTGGAACTCTGTAGACCAGGCTGGCTTTGAATTCACAGAGATACTCCTGCCTCTGCCTCCTGAGTGCTGGAAATTTTTTTTTTGCTTTGTTTTTGTTTATCGAGGGTTTCTTTGTGTAGCCCTGACTGTTCTAGAATTTGCTCTACATGTAGATGAGGCTGGCTTCGAGGTCCACCTGCCTCTGCCTCCTGAGTGCTGAGACTACTAAAGACATGTACCACCATAGCCTGACCACATAACATAATTTTTAAAAATAAAAAATCCAACGGGCAGTGGTGGCGCATGCCTTTAATCCCAGCACTTGGGAGGCAGAGACAGGTGGATTTCTGAGTTCGAGGCCAGCCTGGTCTACAGAGTGAGTTCCAGGGCAGCCCAGGCTTCACAGAGAAACCCTGTCTCAAAAAAATAAAAAAATAAAAAATAAAAAATCCAGCCAGGCGGTGGTGGTACCCGCCTTTAATCCCAGCACTTGGGAGGCAGAGGCAGGCAGATTTCTGAGTTCGAGGCCAGCCTGGTCTACAGAGTGAGTTCCAGGACAGCCAGGGCTATACAGAGAAACCCTGTCTCAAAAAAAAACAAAAAAAAAATCCTTTAAACAAAGAACCAGAAAATGAGATCATGTTCCTGACAAGTGCAAGGTTCCAGGTCTGAGACAAAACAAAACTACAAATGTGTACTTAGTAATTTCTTTCCCCTTGTAACATCTTTTTAGACAGAGACTCACTAGGTTCTTGGCTGGCTATGTGGAACAGGATGGCTTTGAACCTGTGACTTCCTGCTTTTGCTTCCTGTGTGTTGGAATTACAGGCCTATGTCACCATAATTATTCAAGTGGGACTGGGCGTGGTGACACATTTGCCTTTAAACTTAGCACTTAGGAGGTAGAAACATGCAGATTTCTGTAAGTTCAAAGCCAGCCTGGTCTACATAGTGAGACCTTGTTGTAGGAAACAAGAAAAAGTGGTCAGTCATGGGGACTCTGCAAACCCTTCTTCACTTCTGCTAAACACTCTAAATTGTTTGGAAAACTGTATCTGTGTAATTCGCAGAACGCCAGGACAGTTCTCCGGCTTCTTAGAAGTGGCTAGCATCAGAAAAAGCAGGACTCTAAGACAGTTTAGACTTGTTGTATAGGGATACATATACAGCTCAATTGGTAAAGTACTTGCCTGGCAAACAGGAAAGCCAGGCCAAGGTTTAATCCTGAGCTACACATAAACAGTGGTAGATATCTGTAACTGAAGAGGTAGTAGGGCAGTAGGATCAGAAGTTCAAGGTCAGCCCCAGCTACATAGAGAGCTTGAGGCCAGCCTACCTATATGACACCCTGTCTCAAAAATAAAATTAATAAATAAATTGAGGGGCTGAGATGTCTCAGTGGGTAAAGCGCTTGTCATGCCAGTCTGGCCAGAATTCAGATTACCAGAAACCATGTGGTTTGTGCACGTCCCTGCAGGCTCCGATTGGAAATGGGAGGCAGGAGAATCACTGGAAGTTTGCAGGCAGCTAGTCTGCAGACAGGCTAAGGCAGCTACTTTATAACAAAGTGGAAGAGCAGAGCTGACACTCAGCGCTCTCTCCCAACCTCCACAAATATGCCAAGGCATGTACCCAGCAACATACACACTGACATACAAATAACTAAATACTAGCCTTATGGTTTACATTTCTGACATGCCCAGTCAAATCTCACTATGTTAACCAGGCTGGCCTCAGTTAGCAGCAGGTGTCTAATGAAATACCAACAGATAAAAGAGGAGAAAGTGGTGTTTCACTCAGGAGAAGCTGTCTACCTTTATTTTATTTTAAAATTAAAAAAATACATGAATGTTTTGCCTGCATATCTGTCTGTGAACCATGTGCATGTCTGGTGTCTGGGGAGGGTATCAGATGCTATAGAAGTGGAATTATAGATGGTTGTCAACCACAATGTGGGTGCTGGGAACAGAACCCTGATCTTCTGGGAGAGCAACACTGGTTTTGATTGCTGAGCCATCTCTCCAGTCCTCCCTCCCTCTTTGACTAGAATTAATCTGATCCAAGCTGTGGAATAAAACATTATTCAGTCAACAATGCTTAGCAGAAGTCTCTCTGGAAGAGCAAGGGTTTGGTTTGTAACCTTGAGTTAGCTCACCTTTCGTATCTGTTTTTTTTTTTTTTTGGTTTTTCGAGACAGGGTTTCTCTGTGTAGCCCTGGCTGTCCTGGAACTCACTCTGTAGACCAGGCTGGCCTCGAACTCAGAAATCCACCTGCCTCTGCCTCCCAAGTGCTGGGATTAAAGGCGTGCGCCACCACCGCCCGGCTTGTATCTGTTTTTAAAGGCTTACAATGATATGTACCAGGTGGTGTCAACTGAATTACTAAAGCATAAGGCAGGTGGCACACTGGAGGCCCAGGCTGGACGTTAAGGCCAACCTGGGCTATATACTAGGACTCTAGGTGGATTAAAAAGAAAGGTATCCAGGCAGTGGTGGCACATACCTTTAATCCCAGTACTGGGGAAGAAGAGGCAGGTGGATCTTTGAATTTGAGGCCAGCCTGGTCTACAGCAGGAGGGCTCATTTCTCTCAGCTCCAGGATAAGGAGAGGGAAACCTTGTCTTAAAACAAACAAACAAACAAACAAACAAACAAACAAACAGCCGGGCGGTGGTGGCGCATGCCTTTAATCCCAGCACTTGGGAGGCAGAGGCAGGTGGATTTCTGAGTTCGAGGCCAGCCTGGTCTACAGAGTGAGTTCCAGGACAGCCCGGGGTATACAGAGAAACCCTGTGTCAAAAAAAACCAGAAAAACAAACAAACAAGCAAACAAAGGAAAGAGAGAAAAATTCTGGGAAGATTGCTAATAAGTAAGAGCCCTGGCTGCTCTTCGGGAGGACCCTCCTTCAGTTTCCTGCACCAGCTTGGAGGCTGACACTTATCCTATCTGTAATTTTAGACCCAGGGTATCTCTGATGCCCTCTCTGGCCTCCTGGGCAAGGAGAGAAATAAAAACATATAAGTAAATATATATATTTGAAAGAGATATGCCCTCTAACATAGCCAGCCCCAACTGTCCTGCAACTCACTGTGTAGAACAGGCTTGACTCACAGAGCCCATCTGCCTCTGTTTTCCCTAGTGCTATGATTAAAGGTGTATGCTACCATGGCCGGTTAATAAAAATTAGTTTCCTCCCCCGCCCCGCCAACACACAGATACACAGGACATGGTTCTCTATTTCTAGGTCTCACATTCTGACTGAATGTGAAAATTTTAGTATCCAAATATCGACCTCTCACTGTAGAGATTGTAAAAACTCAGAGCGACATTGAGGTGGAGGAAGGACCCCATTCCAATCCAGGGCCAGTTTTGCTGAGAAGGCCCAGGTTCGAGTCTAGGCTTGGCTTCTCAGGAAGCAGGTGGGCTCATTTCTCTCAGCTAGAGTATCCTTCACCAGCCCAAGATTGATGTGGGGCTGAGAGAGCCCCCTAGGACTCTCCAGACACCCTTCAAGAGACAAGACAATCACCAGCTTGGCTCGGACACCCCAAAAGCTGGAAGGGAAAGTCTGATTCCACTCTGCAAACTGATATCCTGCAGTTTCCTAGGGTACATCGGGAAATGTAGTGTTAAAAAAAAAATCGGGATAGGAATCACTTCCGGGATAAAAAAAAATAACAAAAAACAAAACAAAAAAAACCGGGCGTGGGTCTAAGTACTCCTTCAGTGGGCCTAGAATTTTCCTGCTACCAGAAACTTGTTTTCTGGGTTCCGGTTGCTGACGAGAGCCGCTACTTCCCTGTTTGATTCACGTGGATCTACGCATGTGCAGCAGGCTCTCCGAGGTCTGCGGACTACACTTCCCACAAGGCCCTGCGGTGGGCGGGGCCCACCCACTCCAGGGGAGGAATGAGGCGCTCACAGGACACAGAACCTCTGACCTTGCTCTTTTATTAACAGAAAAGTCTGCCAGCATTTGGTGTTCGGTGGCCCGTGCCGGGGCGTACTCAGTGCAGCCCACATCTCTTCCTGCCTGGAGTTTGGGGTTGTTCAGGCTCCAGCTGGCACCTTCTCCTGGGACTCAGGATGCCGGGGCTGCCCAAGCCGCGGGCCCAGCAGCGCTGGGGGGCCGGGCGGGGCCTGCCTGGCCCATGAGGATCTGCACCAGCAGGTCGGTGGCCAGCACGTGCGACGGCTCCTCGAAGCCGATGGTTAGTAGCTGCTGGTAGTCCCCGGGTGGCTGGGGGCACAAAATCCTTGGGGGCACGGAGACAAGCCTGACTTGAGCACCTCTGCCCCTCAACTGGGAGGGGCTTTGTTTCAGTTAGGGGTGGTGGCTACCCTAAGGGAAAGCATTTCCTCTGTTGACAAACTCCTGGAGTTGAAACACTGGACTTGAGGCTATTAAACACTTTTCTGGCTGTTGTCTCCCTGGGAGAGTGACTTATCTGCTCTGAAAACATGTTTTCTTGGTGAAATCCGCATCTCTATGGATTGCTGTTTAGTCTGCATAAAGCACCCTTCAGGGCACAGTAAAATGTGTTCCCTATTAAGAGTGGAAACTTTGTCACCTGAGTTCCAGTCTTTGGTGAGGTTTTCTGCCCTCCCTCAAACTTAAGCCCACATCACCACCACTGGGGTCCTACCATGAATCAAGATCATCCTCTGCGGGTCCTAGGGGCATCCATCGGCCAATGGACCAGAGTTTCTGGATCTGGGGGCACGAATTGGCTGGTCCCTGGCCTGCATCCTCCCATGTATCTCGATAACACAAGAAGTAGCTGAGAGGGAGAGAGCAGAGGGAAAAGCAATACTTTAGTTTTTTTTTTTTTTTTTTTTTTTTTTTCCTGCTGAAGGCTTTAATTTTGGAGGTGAGATTCAAGTTCCTCAGAAGTTATCTCAAGATCTGAGGCAGGAATGTGACTCAGTACTGAGGGCTTTTCTCCCTGGTGGCCTAATCTTATATTTTAATGGGAAGGTGGAGTTAAGAAACCTAAAGGTTGAAAGTGTAACTCAGTGCTGGTCTAGCATATGCAAGATCCTGGATTTTATCCTAGCACTGCAGAAGGCGTTTAGTTTTGTCTTGCTTTTCACTCTTTGGTGGTGGTGTATAGGCTCAAGTTGGCATTCAGTATAGGAAGGAGAGGACTTTGATTTTGATAAGGGGACTCACTAATCCACGTGGGAGTTTGCTCCTTGACTGCTGGCCTCTGTAGTGGTTTCCAGGTTCCAGCGCATCTTCTTATAGAGGTATCTTGGGAAGTGACTGGCAGTGTACGCTGCTGGTGTGCAGTATCGGAAGATGGACACATCGTGGGAGGGGCTAATGGAGAACCTCCCGCAGAAGAAGCAGGAGATGCTAGTAGGAGATAGGAGAGTGGACAGCAAGCTGGACCCTGGACCCCACCACCCAACAGTCCCACTTTCTGCTCCATTTCCTGTCCGCTTACCTCAAAGGGTTAGTTTCCTCCAGGTCGACGAACCCAAAGGAGGCATACATGAGAACTAACTGTTCCAAGCGCAGGGTTAGCTGCTGGGAGATCTCCAGCAGCTGCACGGAAGGTGGGACTTAGTGACCTCAGGTGGTCAGCCAGAAGCAACCCTCCTACCCCCCTAGGCAGAGTTTAAAGGAGAAAGGGGCGTGGAAAGAGAGCTGCTGTACACACCCCCTTCCGGACCAACTCTTGCAGGGCTCCGTAGATAGGAGGGAGACTCCTTGCCGCAGCCTCAAGGTATAGGAAGTAAGGTTCACACATAGTTAAGAAGGTGGGCATGGCCTTGGCTAGCTGTTCCTTCTGTACTCGGTCCCTGCTGAAGGGAGAAAGGGGCCTTCATGTGGCATCTCTCCTTCCTTCCCTAGGGGCCCCTGTGCTCCCCCTTCTCCACTTGCATCCCTGGCTGAACCCATGATGAAATTCCCTCAGTGCTGTGGCCTAGTGCTAAGAACATTTGCATAGCATGTGCAGAGTCCTGGGTTCCATTCCAACACCCCAAAATTAAACATAAGAAAAAAAAAGGAACGAGGAGCTTAAGTCCGTGTTATGGATGGCTCAGCATAAGAGAAAGATTTCCCTCAGTGTCAAGACTTTCTCCCATCACCTTTCAGAACCACCTGCATCACTCATTTGAAATATTTGTTAAAGTGCTGACACCTGGGCTGGGAGCACAGCTCTGTGGCAGAAGGCTTGCCTAGTGCAAGGGGCTGCATTCCATTCCCAGCGCAACGCTCGGAAAGCTGGGACTTAAGCCTCCCAAAGACATCACACCGCTTTCCACTGGTCTGGAAACTACATTTTTCTTTGGGAGTGGAGGGTGGCCTCTCATACCAGAAGTTTCTGGCTAGAGTTGATGCAGATGGAATCTGTTTAGCTGACTTAAACTAGGTTTTAAAAATAATCTTAGAGCATTTCAAATTTGGTAGGCAGTACTCAGTAGACTGAGGCAGGAGGCTCACCAACCGGAATATAATGAGACCATGTCTTAAGAAAAAGAATTGTTCAAAGCAAGCAAGCAACCAACCAACCAACCATTAAAGTTCTAGAGAAAGGATTTTGCTACCCTAAAGGCCCATACATTGCCAGGTTCTGCCTCTCAATTCTTAACAGCCCTCGGTGCAGTATAAAGTGGATTCCTAATCAGCTAGCCTCATATACTGTATCTCTGGGCCCTGAGTTCAGTTTTTGGCCTTTGTGGGCTGCACAGTCCTCCTGTCCTGGGACCTGGGCCTTGTGCAGGGTCACCTGTAGAGCAAGTAGCTTTGAAAGTCATCCGCCTTCCTGAGCAGGTAACGGAGCTGGTCAGTGATGGGGCTGAACATGGAGTCCAGCGGGAGGCGAGCCGGGGTCGGCCCGAGCTCTGCTGCCAGTGGCTCCCGGGAGGACGTGGAGGCTGGAGCTTCCATCATGGGCTGTGCCCGCTGGGGCTCCAGTTCCGCTGAAGCCTCGGGTCTCCCGACGGGCGACCACGAGGGGTCTCCATAGGGCGGCGGCCCGGGTCCCAGTTCCTCCGAAGGCGGTGCTTCTCCAGGGCCCAGGGCCAGCGACCCCGCGAACCAGGGCTCCGCAGCCATCCGCGTCCACCGCAGGCTCCTCCAGTCCCCGCGGCGTCCCGGGAGCGCACACACCTGGGGCCGAGCGGCTTGGGCAGGGAGCGCAGCCGCAGCCCACTCAGGCCGGCCTCGACGTCTCTGCCGGCGCCGCCCCGCGGGGCTTTCGCCTCTTTTGAATTTCTGCACGCGGAGGGCGCGCAGCCTGGGCCTGCACTGCGCCCCGAGCTCGGCCGGCACCTGGCGCGCGGGGCGCTGCCAAGGACGGAGCCCCAGACCTGCCTTGTGGTTGCGCCGCAGCTAGGCGCCTTTTCTCTTCCCAGGCAGTTGACTAGACTGGAGGGGGATTCCTAACTTACTGGGAATCTCGGAGGCCTAGGCTACATCCCAGCAGGTGACCCCAAGATCTGACTCTTAACTGCTGGAACTGGGATCTGCTTTTGAGCCTACTAAGGCCTAGCTAGTGATACAGCAATTACTCCTACAATAAAAATTCTCAAGACAGGTGATCTTATCCCATTGTCTCTTTTGTTCCAGTATGCCCGCTCTGGTCCCTGAACACTTATAGGTTGGATTCCTCGCTACGTGCAAAGACTGACTGGAAAGCCAAGTGTATTACAGGGTTTGAAGTAAGCAGCAACAGGTGGCACACTATCTTGTGTGACCCTCAACTTGACTTTGTCAAGCCAGTTGCCCTGTCTATAAAACGAGTTTTATGATGTCTGCTTTACCAAACTACAGAGGTGACAGCAAAAGGCTCAGCAAGTGTGCAGGTAACTGTTAGTCACTCAACAAACACTTGAGCAGGTGATGGCAGAAGACAAAGGAACTATCCCAGTCCTAGACTGATGATTTTGTCATTGTTGAGACAGGACTGCCTGTAGCCCAAGCTGCCTTTGAACTGTCGGTAAGTCTAGCCTCGGATTCCTGACCCTGCTTCCATCTCTAAGTGCTATATATAACAGGTGTGCCACTAAGCCCAGCATCTCCTTTTTGTGGTGGAGATAGAACGGCGATGTTCTATCAGCATACTTGGTGAGGCTGCTGAGTCTCAGCCGAGCCGTAGTGGGCTGAGGGAGCTGCCACTCTTCTGCCTCACCAAAATACTGTCTTCACGTTAAACTCTTCAAGGTTTCTAGCACCTCCTTCCTCCATGCAGAAAATGCACTTTTTTTTTTAAAGTTTTATTTAAAAAACCTTCGGTGCAATATTAAAAAGCAATACAGCCAGGTGGAACAACAGTAGACAGACAGAAAGGGAAGGAAAAGAGGACCCAAGGTCCCTTACCTCACCTGTTCCCCAGAGGCTGGGGGTCAAAGGGGAGGCCATGGAGGTGGTGGGACGAGGAAAAACCACCACCAGGATGAATAGGCAGAACAAAACACATATAAGATACATCTGGCTGAACTGAAGAGGGGTTTGGGGCCACAGGAAGCTCCCCTGTTGTTTTGTTTTTCAAAAATGTCCTGGTTTGGGGAGAAAGGGTGACCCCTGGTAAATGAGCCAACCAAGTCCTCCTACCCCACACTCCACTGCTGTGGAGAGGGGTGAACTAAGGTCAGGGGTGTGAGAGAAGGGGAATGGAGAAGGGCATCCCCTCACTGGAGTCTGTTAGGAAGGTCGAGTGTACCCATGTCCAGCTTCTGGACTATGGGGCCACCACGGGTGAACTCTGGACTGGCTGGGGTGGGGACAAGGCCGGGTGCTCAGCCTAGAAGGCCATCAGGATCGTCCTCCTCAAAGTGGCCTTGCTGAAGCACCTTGATATGGTGCTCGTAGATTTTCAGGGCTGGGCCCAGGCGGATGGACAGACCAGTGAGCACATCTGTCCGCTGCATGAGCAACAAAGACTTGCCATCAATTTCCTAGGCAGGACAGAAAGGGGGCAGGGTCAGCGAACACCCTGCGGCCCTCTGTGTGCACACACACAGGAGTCCCTGGCTGGGAACTCACCTGCTCTTGAAAAGCAGTAGCCTGCTCTGGGAAGCCTGCCTCGGTGAAGTATTCCACCACATCCATGACTGTCCACTCCACCGGGTCCGTTGGCTTCTCCTTGCGCCCAGAACTGCATCAGAATGGAGAGTTAACAGTGACCTTGGCACAGCTCTAATTGTCCAACACCCAGGTGCTAACCCTAATGTCCCCAGTGCCCCCACTTACGGACAGCCAAAAGGTGTCCCATCAGTCCCAGGTAGGGCTGGTTTTCCTGGAGGCAAAGGCACAGGAGATGGAGAATCCGGAGCAGCTGCAACACAAGCTGGGAAAGGGAAGGCAGATGGCAGTCAGGCTTGGGTTCACAGCTCCCTGCTCTGCACTGCCCCAACCCAGACGGGTCCTTACCTGATCCCCCTTCTTTATTCGTAGCTGTCATCGAGAACACCTGGCGTGTGCAGCTGCCAGGTGCTGGTCCCCGCCCTTCATCCTGGCCCTGGTAGGGTCCACAGGGCGACCACTCCTTGACCCTCTCCTTAGCATTCGGAGGGCCCCGCTCTCCATTAATCTGCTGGTGCTGAGCACCTGCGGGGCGGTCACTCTCGGGCACTTCTGAGCCCTCAGATACATTGTCCTCCTCCTCCTCCTCGTCTTCATCGTCATCTTCCTCTTCTTTCTCAAACACCCGTTCTTCTCCACCTCTCTGGGGCCAGAGAAAGAAGCAGGCAGAGTTAGAGCTCTTCTAGTCCCGGATGAAATCCAGTGTCCGCCGCCACCTTTGACAACAACACGGAGTAACTTTTACGCTGTGCTGTCGTTTCCGTGCCAGGTTCTGGGTTAATAAAGCCCTCAATAGCCAAGTCTTACTAAACTCGCTCAACTACCCCCAGGGGTCGCTACTGTCAGCAATCCGCGTTTACAGCCGAGGAAACTGAGGCTCCCGCAGATCAGGTCACTGACCGAGACCACCGCGTTCGGAGTCCACGGGGACCGTGGGTGAATCCCGGCCACCTGACGTCCCGCTCCCTCCCGGGACTCTCGTCCCCGCCAACTTCGCCCGCACCTGCCCGGTGCGCTCACCTTGCTCCGCGCCGCGCGTGCGCTAGCGGCCGGCGGCGCTCGTCCCGGCCTGTCTCCGCGGGGTAGCGCGAGCGCTCCCAGGCGGGTGCGCTCCAGACGGCCTCGCGCCGCTTCCTCTTCCAGCAGCCCCTGCACGCGGCCGCGGGTGAGGCGGCCGCTGGCGCCGCCACTGCCCCCGAGGTAGCGCACTACCACCCGCAGGCTCACGCGCCCGCCACCCCCCCCAGACAGGCCCGGACGCCCCCCCCCCGCCGCCAGCGGCTGCGGCGGTGGCGGCAG